CCTCGCTCTGCACTGCAGCCTTCGGTTCCCGCGGCCTGGGCGCGCCTACCCGCCTCGGCCGCCCGCTGCGGCCTCTCCTGCCGATGCCTCTAGGTGTCCGCCAGCCCCAGCTTCGCCCGCGCCCCCAACCCAGGGGAGAAAGGCGAGGGGCTCGAATCTGGGCGGGCCTTCCCGGATTTCTCACCCAACGGGGACCTCTCTTCTCCACATCGCGAACTGTTTTTTGAGTCACTTCCTGGCCAGAGGCGGAGTCAGCCGGGCCCCTCCCGGGACTGGGCCAGCACTGGGCCCCGGCGCGCCCCCGCCTCCGCCCCAGCCCCGCCGGACTCCTCCCAGCTCCCGGCCTCGGCCCCGCCCACTCGTCCGCAGTTCTCGGTCTCCCTACGTTCTTTCTGGGTTCCACTAGGTTCTCCTGTTCTCCACAGTTCTCAGCAAAGACGAACCACTCATTTGAGAATTGGAGGTGAAGAGAGGCTTAAAGAGACTAATCCAGTCCCTTCGGGTGAAGTTATGGAAGTCCAAAGAGGGAAACAGACTGACCCAGGGTCACAATACAGTGACACTGTTGGCCCAAGCGCTTTCCACCAAAACAATTGTGGGAAAAAGACTAAGGAACTTCTTTTAAAGAATGGAAAAAATGCCACTGAGAGTGCTGTGGGCCTGTGAGGGATTTTGAAGAGAGGAGAGAAGAAGAGGAGGAAGGCACTGTAGGAGCTGTCTCTTGCGCACGATCTCTGTGGTCCCAGTTCCAGCCTTCAGTGCTCTCCAGAGAGGCTTCACTAGGGTTCTAGCTGTAGCCCTCCTGTCTGGCTGCCTCATCCCTCCTCTCCCTCCCAGAGCCCAACTGCTGTCATTTTGTGCCCTGCCAAGGAGGAGGGAACTGCAGTGCCAGCAGGAGTAAAAGGCAGGACAGAGTTGTGGGGCACGGAGAGGTATGGAGAGGGAGATGCTGAGACCAGGTGACAGTGAGACACAGAAAGAGGGCTGAAGAGCAGGGCAAGGGGTGTTGAGAGTCTGAAGGAGAGTGGAAACTGAAAGGAGCAGAAGAGGGCCGGCAGACAGGAAGACTCGGGGGTCACAGAGCCACTCAGCCATGCTAAGAGCAAAACAACACTGGCTGCCAGGTCTCACACCCAACCCCAGGCTGTCCTTGGCCCTGATGCTTCTGGTCCTGGGGATCGGATGGGCCCAGGAGGCAGCAGAGCCCGTCCTTCTGGAGGGCGAGTGCCTGGTGGTTTGTGAGCCCAGCAGAGCTGCTGCAGGGGGGCCCGGGGGAGCAGCTCTGGGAGAAGCACCTCCCGGAAGAGTAGCCTTTGCTGCGGTCCGAAGCCACCACCATGAGCCAGCAGGGGAGATCGGCAACGGCACCAATGGGGCCATCTACTTTGACCAGGTAACCCCCTATCCTGCAAGGACCTGGAGTCAACTGTCCAAGCCCACCCTGCTGTTAAGGAAACAGCCCCCGGCTGTGGCCATTTGCCCCTCGACCCTACTGCCTGACCCTACTGCCTATCTCCCTTACCTTCACTCCTGCCCATACCCCTCCTTGTCCTTTCTCACCTTCTTTTGAATCCGTGCATTTCTCCTGTTGGCAGCTACTTGCCACCCCTTCTTTTCCTTACTCACTGCCCCATCCCCCAACCCAGTGGTTTTCCTGAGTCCCAGGTGTCCCCAGCCCACTCAGCAGGGTCTGCTTCCCCCAGGTCTTGGTGAATGAGGGCGGTGGCTTTGATCGGGCTTCAGGCTCCTTCGTAGCCCCTGTCCGGGGTGTCTACAGCTTCCGGTTCCACGTGGTGAAGGTGTATAACCGCCAAACTGTCCAGGTGACCTGAGCACGGGGCCCTCTCCCTGTCCCTGTCTCTGTCCCTGTCCCTGTCCCGGCTCGGGAGGAGGAGGAATAAGTGAAGCCCAGCTGACCCCTGGGCAGACCCTCCATTGACCTATGTGTCCTGAGGGACCAGGAGCAAGAGAGGAAAGCACGTACCTAGCAGAGAGTGTGGAGGACCTGCAGAGTCCAACACTGGCCACCCATCAGCCCTCCCGGGAGAATGCACCAAGCCTCAGGTTCCCAAGTTCCAGAGTGTCCCTCTTGGGCTGGGGAAAAGAGGGGCTGCCCTCAGAAAAGTGGGGTCCTAGAACGAGGGTTGGAGCAGTTCACTAACTGGGCTCCCTCCCCAGGTGAGCCTTATGCTGAACACATGGCCTGTCATCTCAGCCTTTGCCAACGACCCTGATGTGACTCGGGAGGCAGCCACCAGTTCTGTACTACTGCCCCTGGACCCTGGGGACCGGGTGTCCCTGCGCCTGCGTCGGGGGAACCTGCTGGGTGGCTGGAAATATTCAAGTTTCTCTGGCTTCCTCATCTTTCCACTCTAAAGGCTCAAAGACAGGAATCTAGCCCCTGTCCTCTGCCTTCTGCCCTCTCGTGTCCCAGAAGCAGCATCTGTGGGGCAGGAGAGAGGCTCCCTCTGGCTGCCTGTATTCCACCTCCTTGCATGGGACCCTGTGTCAAACACCCAAGGTGATGAATAGAGCTGTGGTGTCTTGGGACCTGGCTGCTCTTACCCACCCCACGCCCACCCACCAAAAAAATGTCCTCACAGCCTCCTACTGCATCTCTTTGTGTCTGCAGCCCTCGGATCAGGGGAAGGTTTGGCAAGTAGCGAGACTGAAGCTATTGTATAGACTTTGCTCCTCTCTCTTCCGCAACCCCTAGCCTCTCGCTTAGTGCTACTTGGGGACAGGTGGCATAGGTAAACCTAACAGGCCCCCACAGGGGCCCAGATGGACCAGCTAGGCATACCCTGCAGGCTCCTTCCTGTGAGGAGTGCCAGCATCACAGATCTCTGCCAGCACAGTCAGGAACTGAGCCAGCACCATATGGGCTAGGGCGGGAGGCTCAGCCACCAGTAGAAGTGTGGAGAGGGCCACAGAGCAGCCCAGAGCCTACGGCTAATAGGGCAGGAAGGGGATATGGGCCTAGCTTGAATAAGGTACACATTTTTCATGTACATTGGGGCAGCCAGCAATCAGTGAACCTAGGTGTTCTTCTGTGCTAGGCCACAAATGGACTCTGGCCCTCATCTCCCCACCCAGGACATGAGATGTGTATGTTTGCTCTGACTGAGAACAGGTATATGCTGGTTCCTTGGGCAGCTGTAGGTGAGAGTAGAAGGTCACCTGTAGGCAAGTGTAGATTTCCAGGCATGGAACACATCAATGACCACAGCCACCTCCTAAAACTGCTCCACCTTTGTAGTCTGAACTTCAATCACTCCATACCCTAACCACCACCTCCTTCCTCCCAGCTCTCTTACCTTGACTGTACCTGTTCCAGACTATCCTACAACCTCTCTTCTTTTTCCTGATCTGTGCTCTTATCCTCCTTCTTAAAATTCCTATTACCTGGGATTCCATGATTCATCCTTTTACCCACTCTCCTGCCAGCATTATAAACTCTCTTACCTCGCTGTCCCTTTGGCCCAGCATGGATAACTCTATCAATAAAGTAACTAGAGAATGATGGTTAATGAGACACTATAGGATTGCTAAAGATAGAAGATGCCACTACAGTTTGGATCAGGGGTTACAGGATATGAGCAGGTATGTCGCAGAGAAAATAAATGTAAAACTGTATGTTAGAGTCAAATAAAAAAAAAGATTTAGTAATGCTTGAGTTAAATAGGAAATACCAATGTGAATTTGTGGTTTTCAAAAGAAATAACTTTTCCAAACTTTGTCACTAAAGTATCATAGAAACAACATTAGAAAAAATCTGATATGCATCCTTAGCACCTAGATCTGTGCCTCAAATGTTATTCACCTTTAAAAGGACTCAGGTTCTATGGAGAATAGCTCCATATCTTAAAAAATTCTAGGTTTGGAACATGTTGTTGATGACAAAAAGCAAGGACACTTTTTAAAATGTTTAAGGTAGAGTCAAAAAAGCAGAGGAACCAATTTTAAAAGGCTGCCACCTGACTTTCTATGACAATTTGATAATCGAAAGGAAAATAATATAGTTAATTGGAACAAGGTGAATTTTTTTTTAATTTACGACTGTTATTATTCCAAAAGAAAAAAGTCATTATGAAGTGTGCAAAAAAGTAGTTAATATACTGAGTGAAGAAGAATGAAAATAACAGGATATTTTTAGTTAATTTTGATAAGTAGAAAAGTATACGTATAGTAGGTGTTTTAACTATTCATAAGGTACATTTACTTTTCTTTATCTGTATATGTAAGGAGGGGTGGCTATACAGAGCTGTGAATAATTCCAGAAAAGGTTGGAACTGTACCAAGAATGAAAGACTGATCAGCACCATCTGGTCATATATTACAACTAAGAAGAAAGAAAATCCAATAGTGTGTTACAAGATGATGAATTAGTCAAACGTCCAAAAGATAACTGCTCACTGCTCAAACTTGATCCTTCGTCCCTTGGGAAAGGGAGCCTTTATATTACCCTGCTAATTATAATGAGATTATAGGACTAGTAAAACCTAAATTAATTGGCTTTAACAAGATAGGTTATTTCTGTCTCACATAGAAGAATCTGTAAATAAAGAGTCCAGAGATGGATGGCAGTTCTTTTGGGTTCCTGGACTCAATTTCAATGTTGGGGGCGGGGCGGGGGGTAGATTTGCTTCCCACACAACACCAAGCAATTCTTGGATACCAGCAGGATACCCTAAGAATGCAACTCAATTAAACATAATTCTGACACTATCTACCTGGTGGAAATTGCATCAGATTTCCACAGGTTAAGGGATAAGTCCTACATACTCCACCCCCAACTGCAGGTCCTAGCCAAAAGCCCAGGCTGTTAACTGTACTTCTGACAACCGCCTATAGGTTGGAGGTTCCTACAACCCCCTCCTTGGCATCTCAAATTAGACACCAGTCTCAGGTCCAAGTTGTGCTTCTGATCGACTGGCTGGGTTCCAGTGTTAAACAAAAAAATTTAACTTCCGCGGCTGAAAGTCTTTTCAAAAGAAAGGGTTTGTTAGGCCACTGCTAGAAAAAAAAGACCAGTCTAAACCACTAGTAGCATGTAGAAAAGATAACATGTAGAAAAGATAACATGTGTAACGCCCAGCAGTTTTGCAAGTGTTTTTATACGTCAGGTAGGGAGGAGAAAGCTGTAAGTCATTCTGAAGGAATTCACATTAGCTATAGACAAAACAGACAGGAGAAAATGAAGCAGGGCTGGTTCTGGGATGGGTGCAACAGAGTCTGTAAAGCTCATGTACAAATAAGAAGTGGAGGCTCCCAGGGTTCAACGATGCCTGGCTGTCATTTCTTGGATAATCAAAAATAGCCACCTGGAAATTAATCCTAAATTCCAACAGAGATACAGGAATGTGAGCAGTCTTTTGTCAGAACTGGTCCACAGCTACTAACAGGTTAACTGTTCTTTCTCTAGCCGCTGTAGTTTTAATATAGAACATCTCCATTTTTTCTCTTGTCACCAGCTACCCCTTCCTTGGGTTCGATTAATTTGCTAGAGAGTCTCACAAAATACAGAGGAACATGTTACTTACTAGATCACCGATTTATTACGAAAGGATATATAATTCAGGAACAGCCAGATGAAAGAGATGCATAGGGCAAGGCATGGGGAAAAGGCTCGGGGCTTCCATGCCCTCTTCAGGAGCCACTCTCCCAGGACCTCCACGTGTTCACTAACCCTGAAGCTCTCTGAATCCTATCCTTTTGAATTTTTATAAAGGCTTCATTACATAGGGGAGATTGGCCATAGGCAGTTGATTCAACCTTTGATTCCTCTCCCCTCCCCAGAGGTGAGGGTGGTTGGAGGGTGGGCCTGAAAGTTCCAACCCTCTAGTCACATGGCTGGCTCCCTTGGCAACCAGCCCCCATCCTTAGGTGCTTTCCAAATGTCACTTCATTAAATAACAAAAGACACATTTTTTACTCTCAATACTTAGGAAATTCCAAGGGTTTCAGGAGCTGTGAGCCAAGAATTGTGGAAGAAGACCTAATATATATGACAAATATATTTTGGTCATCTGAATGACCAAATACGTATTTCTTGTAAATCACAATATTGCAGCAGTTTTGGGATCATCACAGCCCAGTTTTCCTTTTTACTATTCTATCATCTTTAGCATATTACCTCCTGACAAAATGGCTCCTTGAGCTCCAGCCATTACTACAGTCTTACAGCCCCCACAAAAGAAGTGAGGAAGAAAGGGCACCCCTTTCCTTCAAAGAAGCTTTCTATAAGGTGCCCCTAATATTTCTGATTGCATCTCCTTGTCTGGAATTTAGTCACACCTGGCCAAATTAGGCCAGAGAGAGAGGTTAGGAAATAGTCTATTTCAGACAGCCAGGCCCACCTCAAAGTCAGTTTTATAATAAGGAAGCAGAGATTCGATATTGGGAAAAACAACTAGAAGTTTTTTTAATGCAAATGAGCTAGATAAGATTGTAAATAATGGTAGTAAAATTACTATATTAGTTTTCTATTACCGCGTAACAAATTGCCACGAAATCAAGTAACTTAACACAACACCTATTTACCATCTCGGGTTCTATAGGTCAGAAGTCCATCAGGGCCTGGCTGGATTCTCTGCCTGGAGTTTCATAAGGTCAAAAGCAAGGTGTAGGCAGGACTCTCTTCCTCATTCAGAATGCATTTCCTTACGGTTGAAAGGGAGTGGAGTTTGCCACCCAAAATATGCCTCTTCGGGGTATTATTGTAGTCTGTTAAAATATAACAGACCTGGGAGAAGCTCTGAAAACCAAGTAGAAGTCACCCTCTGTAAAGGTTTGTAAGGGAAATCTTTTGTAAGGGTGTTTCCCTCACTGTACCAACCCTACCTTCACTATCAATGGAGAAGGCCCTGGACTGAAACCTTACCCTTGCTTACTGTGCTTCTCCTGGTAACCTCCCACAGCTGACTCTCCACCACCATCTTGGTCTTTAGCTGAGGGCGATATTTAAGGTGGTGGCTTTTTGCCATTGTGGCAAGTTACTCAGTGTTCCTGCGTCTCTCCCATGTATACAGGAGGTATACGTGTCATTAAACTTTAATTTGTTTTTCTCCTGCTAATCCATCTCATGTTAATTTGATGATCAGTCCAGCCAAATGAACCTTAAGGTAAAGGGTAATTTTTCCTCCTGGACATGGTTGTGAGACTGAGGTCCCTGGCTCCTTCCGTCTTTGAGCCAACAACATCAGGCCAAGCCTTTCTCACCTTTGATCTCTCTGACCTGCCCTTTGCCACATGTGTCTGACTTCAGAGGAGAAAGTTCTCCAATTTTAAGAGCTCATGTGATTAGATTGGGCCCCCTCAGATAATCCAGGATAATCTCTATTTTAAGGCCCATAACCTTAACTACATGTTAAAAAGTCTCTTTTGCCATAAAATAGAACATATTCAGAGGTTCCAGAGATTTGGACACAGGCATCTTTGGGACATCCGTGTATTATAGTCATTAAATCTAAAGATGCGGACATCACTGAAAGAAAAGGCGTCCAGTTACAATACACTAAATGTGCGGAAAAGGTGTGGGCTTCAGAAGGTCCGTGATGTACAAGATAAACATTGGCTCAGGTTTTAATCATCTTAAAAGGTAAAATAGTTCCCAAGTCTCAACCAAGAATTCATTAGTTGATCATCAAAAAGTTGCTCTGCACTGAAATAATGTTCTTTTGGATAAACCAAATTTAAACTGAAATAACGTCCATCTCTCAGATCTACGAACCAATTTTTAAAATGAGTTTAAGTGTCGATGTGATAAATTTTATAACCCTTGTAAGCTATGTGTGGTTTACCGAAATGTTTGATGCTTTTAGAGAACTTGACATATTATGCTGGTGATTCTATTAAAATATGGAGAAAGATTTAAGTTCGCAATCAATGTTTAAATAATTCGATTTGTAAAATGTATAGACTTTGATTTGTCGGTTATATAAATCTTGTTTAAAGGTTTAGACAATTTTTGCTTAAATAGGTTTATGAAGTGAATAGATTCAACGAGCACAAATGGTGCTTAGGGTTCCTCTCCAGGTACAAAAAGCGCTTCAG